ATGCTAAACGTGATCTGAATTATACAGAAGAGATTACAGCCATTAACAGCTCAGTTAGGTCTTGCCTTTATGTGAGAAACCTTTCCAAACATTGCATGTTGGAGGATGTGATCTCTGGTCGGCACCCCAATTACTAAAGACAACAGTGGTGTGAGCAGTGTTAATATTTGCCAACCTTAGCACATATTTTTCCAGTGTGGCAAGGACTGAGCTGAGCCATGACAAAGTAACTGATAGATGTGATATACTGTAAATTGATAAAGAGTTGGGAAGGAAGATTTATTAAAAAGAACTAAATACAGCCAGGTGAAAAAGTTATCAGAAAGGAGCATAATTCAAAAAAATGGAGGGTATATTGTAAAAAAGGCAGGCAAACTGCTTATTCTATTCAATTTTATCTTAATCAGAAGACTAAATATCTGAAAGTACAACAGTTATGGGGCGAAAGAGAGAAAGAATGAGAGTGACGGAAAGAGCGTAGGAAGAAATAAAGCCCATCAGGCAACCCAGCTCAATGAAAAGAAATTCCTCCTCTCTTAGCAGTTCAAGAAAAACGTTTCCTGAATCCTGACAATCCTCCATTCTTCTGCTTTCTGGCTGGCTGGAACCTGAACAAGCATCAATCAAGTTTGGGTGGGTGTGAAGCTGGCCAGATGGAGGATGTCGGAAGCGTTTTGTGCTCCTCAGTGCAAGCTGGCCATTAGAGCAGCCACTTGACAGAAGTGCCCGAGTCTGTCACATCTGTCAGGACAGTTTAGGGAGACCTTCAACATCACCAGCGTTGCAGACACTGATTACAATATGCAATTGTGTGTGCTAGAGAAGAAGTGCCTGCCTCCATTGGGATTTTTTGATAAAATCATCCTTTCATCCTTTCTAGACTTCGTCACAGGCTTTCTCACGACCTCATTTGTGGACCAAATACACAACAAACCATGGTGCCTGGGACATCACTATCACATTGCTGACTATCACAATCTGCCTGCCTAAATGTACAGTATTCAAGAAGGAAAGATGTTTTTCATCCTGTGTTACCTACACTTTAACACAGCAGCCCAGGACCAAGCCACTGTCTTCCAGTCTGAGAGCATGTGAGCAAAACTATGGAGAAAAGAGCTTGTCAGGAAGCCAGGTAAGATTAAAATTCCTCGTTCATCATCTGCTCTCATCCTTAAAAAAAGTTGTAATCCATAAGACAGCTGACATAGACCAGTTGCTAAGAAGAATTTTTTTAGTTTCCAGAATAATGGAGAGTGCTTAAAAATGTTTTAAGCTCTTCTATGGATGATTACTAAACATAAAAGAAATCCATAAAAACACTTAGGTTACCAGTTTATGAAGAAGAAATTGATTCCCAAAGTTTATGAGCATCTCCTGCTTTAACTTAGCACAAGTTTTGTCAGAGATCATAGAAGTCCTGGAAAACCAAACTATATTTTATCAACAAATCTGTAAAATTATAAACCCTGAGATCTTTTTTTGCAGGTATGATTTTCCTTTCTGTTAAGAATAGATCCTACTCCTATGAACAGCAGCAATTTTTTAAATCATTAAGTGAGAGGAGGGAGACTCATCCTATCAGCAAAGCTGCCATATGTTGATGGGCTGGAAAGGTGGATAAGCAACAGTAGAGCAGCATCTACATTTAAGATCCATCAACTGGCCTTTTCCTCAAAGAGCAGAGAAGGTGAGGAAGAACTTCAGACACCACATCCCATGAAGGAAATGTGTCAGGTGAAATTTGATGCACAATGCTTCATTGGTCAGGCCTAGACAAGATAACCTGTCCTACCCACACAATTCCTGGAGTTCTTAAATAATCACATTAATTACTTTTTCTTTTAAATTAGGGAGAATTTTGAAGGTCTCAGATACTCCCCATGCAAACAATGATCAAAATTAAAATTATATTTAGCTAATTTAGTGAGTGTAATTAACAATAAGAACAATGAACAATAAGTGGGTGTCCTCTGTAGAGGACGTGCTTGGAATACTGTTTACATTCCAGTCTCTCCATAACAAAAACTCTTTTGCAATAATAGAAGGAATTTAGGTAAGTCCAGTAGTGAGTATTCTTACACCAAGAAACACTTAAGTCAGAAGCTTTAAAAGATGGCAAACAACAAAAAATTAAAAGAAGATATATAAAAGTACCATTGATTGGAGAAGTAAATAGGGGCTTTTTTTACTGACCTCATTTATAGTATGAAATCAAAAGGAAAATGGATATAATGGAGAGGTTACAAATACAACCTAATAGAATAAAAATTTCACCTCACTGGAAAGGGGGTTAGTCAGGAAAATCACAAAAATAACACTTTTCTGAATATACAGGTATTTTTCAGTGCAATATTTTCAGTCAGTTCTCATCTGCTTTTGGTGCTCACAGCCTGTTGCTGTCAGAGGGGCATGCACTGGTGCACATCTTGAAGCAAAGACCAGCGAGGTGACCAGTCACAGTAAAACAGATTCCTGAACTGCTGAGCCCCTGGCTGACTGCTCTGCTGCCAGAGCACCCAAATGCCAGCAAGCCCCTGCCCTGCTCAGCCAGGCAATCCCAGTAGGAATGGACAGCCCTTGATCAGCATCCACAGATCTAGTTGGATATCAGTACAGACCTTTCACGCTTCAGAAAATGACCTGCTGCTTCCAAGTAACGCATCATGGGCTTTCCTTGTTATACTCTTGAGACACTGATGCAAAGTTAGGGGTGAAAAAGGAGCCTAACATATAACTGTAGACCATTTGAAGTGCTCAGGCTACAAGTCAGTTCTTCCCATTTCCAAATAAGGAAAATTATTAAGATTCTAGCTACAGATTGCATGCAGTTTAAATATTTTCCTTTATCTTAGTTGTGGGTTTGGACTTACCTCCAACCTGTCATTTCCTTCACCTCAGGACAAAAAGAAATACTCTCATTCCAGCCAACATGCCAGCACTCTGATTTTTAACTCTGAAATAAAGTTCAGTGGGGCAAAACTTTTCAGACAGAACTAATCTGCTTGACCTAATTTCTTCCTCTAGTTCCTCCTTCTGGTGCCAACACACTGCCCAGCGTAGCTCCTGTGTAGTTATACCCACAGATCTGCAATATGGACTTAGCTCTGAGCCCAAGCAGGCTGCGTGTATGTGACTCCCATGCCTGCTGTTTCTACTAATGCCAAGAGCAGATGAGTGAGCAGGTGGCATGCAGGAAGATTTCTAATGCAGATCAGGAGAGCAGAACTGCCCACAGTTATTATGATTAAAAACCCACATTTGTACCTATTTCTCTTTTTGTATTCCTTCAAATCAAATAAAGCCAGGTTTCGTAATTAAGTCAAACCCCATAACTGGTTGCTGCAGTCAGTCCCAATCCAATTTTCAGTCTCAGCTATAACTCACTCATAAACTCTAGAATCAGTTAAAGTTGACTCCAATCCAGCAATTTCTCAAGCTCTGCCTTTAAAACTGTAACTCGAAAATGAGCCTGTACCACCCAAGAGCACCGCTCTCATAAAACAATGCTGCATCAGTGCTCTGCTTTGTCCCCTTCTCCCCCTGTTCTGACAGCCACTGACAGGATATAGATATATGACTCAGTGGCAGCAGGACAAGGCAGAGGCTCGAGGGGCAGAGGCCTTCTGGCAGCACAATAGGACGCCTCATTCAGTAAACTCCCAAAGGCTCCTTAGGCATGGAATCTTAGTGAGAAAAAGAAAACAGCAAAAACATGAAAAAAAAATCCTGCCCCCCAAACTGCTAAATAATAAAATCACACATCTCAAAGCCCTTCCTGCATTCCCATCCAATCACTTCAATCCCTAAATGATGTTTATTGTCACCAGCTCAACCAACTCAGGTGGTCTCTGAAAATCTAGTTGCAACTTTACTGCTCCACAGCCTGTCAGTGTCTGCACAGGTTCTGGACTTGTCTAATAACTCCATGGATGGTGCACAAGGAAAACCAGTCACATGGATGGATGGACGCATGCATGCACACACGGTGCCTGCAACTTCTCTCGTTGCTCAAGCAGAGCAGGCCACCTGCAGGTACTCCTCTGATCAATGGTGCACCACAGCCCACAGTTTGAAAATTGCTTGTCCCAGGTGCACCTGTCACACATAATCACATTTATTTGTATTGCTATCCAAGTATTCAGAGCCTGGAATTTGTCAAACCCTGCTGGTTTTAAGTAAACAAATGTCAGGGTAGCATAGCTTTTATAATCTACTTAAAACACATTACTTTTGTATCTCAAACAAGATCTCACAGTTTTAGCTCCCACTATAAATCATCCTATAGACATAGCACCTGCTATTCCAACTAAAGAGTACATTAAAAGGTTTTAATGATTAGAAAGAAAATACGTTTTTCTAAGGGCCACCTGGAAACACAAATGCAGGGCATATGTCTTTCTGTGTACCAGGAATTATACTGTCAGTCACACTATAATAAGACATATACATTCTGTACTGTTCTTCCTGCTATGTTTGAATAATGAATAAACACCCCCATGGGTGCACAATATTTTCATATTTCAGTGTGCAGTGAGAAGAATATCCTTTCAATGTAATGTTGTCCAGAAGGAAAACAGTCCTTTTTTTCAACTAGTCATTAATCAATACCAAAGAAAACCTATATAAAAGATGTCTTTATTAAGGGATATTATTTCATGTTATTATTATTATTATTCTGTTCCCATTGACAAGTAAGTTACAAAAAAAATCTTTACTCTGGAAGTCTAGTTGTGTAAGCAAACTGGTAACAGTACAAGTGCTCTAAAGCTAAAACTGGAGCTCTAATCTTCAGCTTACTTTTCAAGCGTGAGACAGCCTTGACTATACAGCTCAGGAATATTCCCTGTCTGAGCCCTGACAGACAGGAGCAGTGCAGAGCTGAGGAAAGGCCATGAAAGTGCAATATCCTGTACAACCGAGCTCCCACTGAAGCATGCAGGACACCGCAAACCCAGTGGTTTAAGTGAACTATCATGCAGCTTCCAGCAAATGGAATTTACCTTGAGGTTTGGGTTTGGTAAGCTTCCCACAGGGCTTTGAGATAGTGACAGTCTTCTGGCAGTCAGCGTTATGAAGGGCTCTCTTCAGGTTCCCAGTCCGAGTCTTCAAGGCTGTGTTCAAGTCACATTCTCCCCAGGCCTGGAACTGGTATTTGCACTCCGCTGCAGCAAGGAAAAAAAAGGCAAAATTTAAAACACAATGACTGAGCATGAAAACAAAAATGCTGTGAGTCTAATAGGATATCACAGGCAGCTGGTGCTTACAGACAAAAAGATGTGCAACTGAAGAAAAGAATCCCAAGAAAACTTTAAAGATTATTTGTGGTGGTAATTGCAGTCTCATCCCCTCCTCAGTGCTTTAAAATTTAATCTTCTTGCTTTCGCATGGATATTGCATTTTTTGGCATGGATATTGCATTTTTTGGCATATAAAGAGAAATCCATTCAGCTACGAATATGAACAGCAGCAACAAAAAAAAAAAAAAAAAAAGAAACAGCAGTTTAAAATGTCATTTACATTCCATATCGTTGTTTCTCCATTTGTGTGACACCAGAGGTTACCAAATAAAGTTTGAACAGTTTCTAGAATGCACATGCACCCATAAACTTCTCAAGTCTAAAACTGCAGTGTTTGTGATTGTGTTGGTAAGGTCACAATTGTGTTGGTAAGGTCACAATAATTTCAAAATCATGCAAGATGTTTCCTAGAAAAAAAAGCCAAGTTTGCGAGAGTAATCAAATTTGAGTTTTGGACAGACATCTTGTCCAGGACAGATCTGACAATCTTCCCCAATTGGTACGCACAAACCTTCTGAAGTGAATGGTAAAAATGAAATACACTGGTCTGGAATGATAAAAATACACTGGTCTTCACTCCCTCCTTTCACTGCACACACGGGTAGCCAGTCCCCCACGCTCCACATCACACGTTGTAAAGCCTGTGACAGCCATTGCAGAGGTTCACAGCTGTGAACTTGCACTACGGCCCTAAACAGGGATGAACACCGCAGACAGCAGATTTCAGCATGCAGGAAGGCAGAGTTTGTAGTAAGTTAGTTATAGGGACTCTCTGCAGAGGAACTCTGAGGAAGCTGCCTTCTGATTCATGTTCTAGCTCTGATGAACCTGAAATGCAGGACTAACACTTTCACATAGACATTTGCAGAACTAAACAGAAAAAACAGGCTTCCTGCTCCATAGTCAAAACAAAAACCTAAGAAAATCTCTTAAGAGAGGGGTACTGACCTCCAAATTGCTTCTTCCAGTTGCAGGGAATCTTACACTTCTGAGTCTTGGTGGTTTGTTTGCACTCAGCTCCAGTGCGGGTGCCCTCACGTGTCCCCAGGCCGCAGTCACCATTGGTGGGCACGCAGACACTCCACTGCCATTCCCCACAGTCAGACTTCTTCGCCTTTTTCTCTGGATGAAGACAAGAAACCAAGCAAGAGAACTTCTCAGTACCCAAAGCCTACGGAGAAGTTGCCTAAACTTAACCAAATTACAGCACCTGGAAGGGTGAGTAAGGAAGACATTCATAACACCATGGCCTTAAAAGCAAAAGGTCTGACATCCTCTTCACAATTCTGCAGAGACAGGTCAGCCCCTTTGAGTCCAAAGCAGGATGAGCATTCAAACTCAGTCCCACTGCCATGTTTACTAGTCCATTCAGATAGTCTCAAGTGGATTCTCATCTTTAGAAATCTAAAAACCCACAGGGATCACTGACCAAAACATGTAGAATGGATCTCACTCAGAAAGCTCTGTCTCCAGCTGGTGGCATGCAAATATCCTCAGTTCCAGCTGAAGCAATATACACTAAACAGTGAGAAATGTATGTGCTGAAATAGTGTATCAGAGGATTTGAGCACCTCCAGGAAACAGCTGTGGGATGCAAACTTTTGATTTCCTATACCGTGTCACATATTATAACAGAATACTTCAAAGGCAAAGGAGCTACATGGAGAAGTGTACTCGAAGTGCTGTTAATTCAGGTGGGTTTGTTGCTCAGGGAAAAAGTAAGGATCATGATTTTATTTAGATCCTTAAAGAAAAGTCTTATGAGAAAAGATAGCAATGTTATCCGACCTAAGGATTCACAAAAATAATTACTTGGGTCCCTAAATTATCACAAGTAACTGTAAATATATAAATTTATTTTTTTCTTCTAGGTCTTGCATGTTTATGCTACCATTTTCTCATATTTCCACAAAGCCAAAATGGTTAAAAAGTTCCCTTTTTTTTACAGGGAACAGTAATCCTGATTTACTCACAGTTCATATTATCTGGTATGCAAGTTGCGTGAAAATAATAAGACCTTAAGAAAAACACCAAAAAATACGGTCTTTAAAAAAATGTCAAAACTGAGTTCGACAGATATGAATTTTCCGCCCTGGGCCAGTTTCTCTTATAATGAGGTCTGAGTTCATCACTGACAGAAAGCAACTACTGCTGGATGTCTGGCTGTCTGTGCAGCAGCGAGTTAGTACAACTCTTTGTCAGAGGATTTCCACATCACACAGCATCAGTGTAGTACTGTCATATATAACACTGAGGAACTGACACAACTGCTCTTTCATCACTCCTTTTTGGCTCCCCCTAAGTCAAGCATGAAACTATTCATGGAGCACATTTTAAGCTGCTTTGCAATATCCACTGTGTGATAAACCAAGGACTCCAGTCTCTGGGGCTGTCAATCTTCCACTTGACATGGAAACCCCTTTCTGCTTCCCTATTTAACAGAGAACAACATGTCACAGCCAAAAATCCTACCCTGATGTCAAAAGGTTAACAAATGACCTGATTTCATAACAAAACCAGAAGCATCCGACATTCTCACACACATGAAATCTGTCTTGGGGATTAACTCTGAAATAGACTGGACCTTACCTGGTTTCTCTTTCTTGCCAGCCTCAGTGGTACTCACAGCTGCCAGAAGGAAAACGAGTGCCAGGAGGGCAGCTGTGAACATTCGACGTTGCTGTTGTTGCTGTTGCATTCTGCAGATCAATGACAGAAAGGAAAAAAATGGTTAGTGAGACTGTAAAAAGTGGGACTCCAGCTAAAGCATTTTTGGGAAGCTCTGCTTCAGGACCACAAGATACAAGCAGGTCAACATAATTAACTATCGCCAGAATGAGCAACTATCTCCACTCCAGAGAGAATATGAAGATTTTTAACTATTTTCCAGCCTATGTAACCAAATCCCTGATCTACAGCACTGATGTTACTGGAGGAGTTTTGCCATGGGAAGTTTTGTAACTACTGCTTGTCTTCTAGAAACCTGTTAGAGAAACAAGGATCCTGACAGGTCTGGAACTCCTCTCCTCTTTTCTGACGTCTGACTGTGTAAAAATAAGCAAAACATACACTTCATTTTTCACTTTACCAACTCATATGAAGTAGGGAATACTTTACTGTCCACCTTGCAATGGTTGAATTTCTTATTAGGCTTAGGTGACAATTGAAAAGAGCTTCTTTCACAAAAACTTATATAGGTGATATGTGATGCATTATCTCAATTGTCATGGGCATATTGCTACATACTTCTTCCTTCCCCTCCAATTAGTGTCTCTTCATAATATAAATTAAGCTAATTGCTTGAAATGCAAAGTAGGCACAGAGATAGGACTTGCACACACTGCTAGAGGCTATCCACAGCGTGCTAATAAACCCAAAATCTGGATTTGGGAAGCAAATATTCAAATACAAAAAGGTATTAAATACATTTGCTTGGGATTGAAGCATCATTCACTAACCAGTCACCAAAAGCCATTCTGAGCTTTCCCTTTCCTGTTTCTATAATTTGCACTATCTCATTTTGGCACTATTTACCAGAACACAGGGCCTTCAATACATAATTTTAAAATAAGCAACCTTCCCCTTTCCTAGAGACATTTCTCCAGCAGGCAGCTAGGCTCCAAGATAGTGGACTTGAGATTGCTCGGGTGAAAGGAAGGTTTCTCCAATCTTTTTTTGTTTTGTTTTTCTTCAAACCAGGACCCATGACATTCATGTTACACCAGCCTGCAGAGGAGGGATAACAGTGCCACTAAGTCTTTAAAACTCAGCTAGACTGATATTTACAGAGTTTAATGGCAGCCTGATCTCATTCTGCTGAGCACAGCAACCATGGAGGAGAAATATTTCTCAACATAAACAAAGAACAAAATGTATTTGAAATTTAATTTGGCACTCCTCAGTATTCTCTGCTGGCAATCTCTTGCCCAAATGCAACATAATTATAATTGACATGGAAAACAGGAGAGGAATCCCAAACATGGAGACTTTTAAGTATCTGGCTTTAATATCATTCTAGCAGTCAGATGAGACAACTTAATAGCTGTGTTGAAGTAAAGTTCATTTGAAGACTGCAAGAGGCCTGGCATTCAAATATCTGAAAGAGCTGTCATTAGCACCAGTATAATTTACTTCAAAAGAAAGTATCATTTCCCATGAAGAAGAAAGGACCACCATTGTTTCCAGCAAACTCAGCCCAGAGTAGAGCACGTGAGTTGCCAGAGAGCTTGGGTTTGTTTTTCCTTTTCTTCTGCTGCATGCTTCCACTCAGAACCTCGCATGTTTCACAGAAAATTAATTTAAAAAATTAAATAGATAAATAAATACATTAAATAAGCAATTAAAAACTAAATATGCAACCTGCCTTTTAGCTCAGGTTACTTCAAAAGTAATTTTCTTTTCCATGATCAAATGACCGCCTCTTTCATGAGGAAAGGCTAAGAAAATTGTGTTTGTGCAGCCTGAAAAAGAGAAGGTTTGGGGTGACCTAATTGCAGCCTTCCAGGACATGAAGGGAGCTCCTGAGAAAGATTAAGAGAGATTTTTTACAAGAGCATGTAGTGACAGAACTAAGAGGAATGAATTCAAATTGAGAGTAGGGTTAGATTAGATATTAGGAAAAAATTCTTTACTGTGACTGTGGTGAGGAGACACTGGAACAGCTTACCCAAGGAGGTTGTGGAAGCCTCATCCCTGGAAGTGTTCAAGGCTAAGCTGGATGGAGTGCTGAGCAAGGGGTCTAATAAAAAGGTGTCCCTGCCCATGGCAGAGGGCTGGAGTTAAATGATCCTCAAGGTCCCTTCCAATCCAAACCATTTTATGATTCAAACACAGTTGCCATACTATTTAAAAACCAAACCAAACTCCACACTCAGTCCCTTGTCTCTTCCTTTGGGGGAGCTTCTCCACCAGTAACACTGCACATCCCCTAACACCCAATTTTCACCATAATTTATCTTCTCACTTCATCTCTTTCAATCAGCTTTCCAGAATCCTTTGCTGAAGGAGAGAGTTAATTTCATGGAAGCACATATAGCAGGAAATACAAACACTCTCTCAAGTCACTGTCTGCCAGGTGTCAGAAGCTGAAGCAAAGGCAGCACTAGTGGTTTTACTCTGCAGGATGCCATCAAATACAAGATATGGTCACAGTTTTGGGGCTGCCTCCTACATCCTTGCTGCCCACCCCAGGGACCTGGGATGTGGTCACACATATCCCAGAGGCTCCCCAGTCACTGGGAATCATGGATAATTGTTACTAGGGAAGCTGCCTCATATTAAGTTGAAAGGGACTCAAATTTAAATCAGGCTGACATTCTTTTCAGCAGAACAGATGGGGAAAATAGTTAGGTTTTGGAGTCTGAAACATTCCAGAAGCCCTATAAACAAAACCCCACAGAGCCTTAATATAGCATGTTTTCCTAAGACTCAAGACTCCCCTACAGCCAAAACACTTGCCAAATGTCTAATGCAAACACTAAACCTGCAGAGATATAGATATTTTGTCTCTCTGCAGAGACCCAGACTGCTTCCTGAAGTGCCTTTCCTATACCCACAAGTGAAAAGCCATGTTGTACAAATGGAGACTTTGCCTCACACCACACCAACACCTTGAATATCATGTAACAAGTACGACCACAGAAAACCATTTAACTGTTTTGCACAGTTTGCATGGTAAACAGCAAAGGTGGGTACTCTCACAAAATTACAAGCAGCCCATATGTAGTACTCACAAAATAGTAGGTATTTTTTCCCAAAAGACCAGAAAATACCAGCAAGTATGCAAGTCCAATGTTCAGGTTTTTTGCAAATATTTTACTTGCCAGTTACAAGCTAGATTAAAATAAAAACTCACCAGACCAGACTTTCTTCAAACAATATATTCTACTGAAAATAACTGTGTCTTTTTTTGGTTTACTTTTTCAAAATTCAAAGTTCTTCCTTTTTATTAGATTCTTTGATAACATTTTTTGTTCAACCATTGATTTAAAGAACTGCCAGAACTGGTAACAGCAATGACATAAAAAGTGTTACATTATATACAAAATGGACTCCTCATGGATATTTTTATTTTTGTAATGAGCCCTCTGGCTACATCAACAATAACAAGCAAATCATGTGCCATGAGAGGGAAGCCTCTCTATAATCCTGCATGACAGCTCCTAAACAGAGTAAGGTGGCAGCATTTAAACAAATGGCAGGGGTATTTACAACCACAGAAAGATAAAGAAAAAAGTGAAAGAAACAAAAGAGATTTTTGAGGCATGGGCTGCTACAGGAAACTTCAGAAGAGAGAAAAGGTAAAGAGAGAGAAAGAGAGTTTAGAACAGTTTAAATGGGAAGGTGGAACAACATGAAGAAAAGAGCAATCACATAAAGAGCACCAAAACAGGAAAGATAGAAAAGAGGAGTGGTTAATGATAGTTAAGCAATAAACCAGAGAGTGTTAAAAAAAGCATGAAGTGTAAAATGAAGGGAGAATTGAAGACCAGTTGAGATACACCATGGCAAACAGCTTCTTGCAGCAACAATAAGGCACAGGAATTACTTCAGGCTTACAGTTGATTTCACAGTCAATCTCTGCTTGGGAGTAAAAAATGAAAGGAAAATTTTAAAATGGCAGGCAATCAGAGAATTAATGGCTTAATCAACCATCCATCCATGGTTTCAATTACATATTGAGCCTCAGAAAGATAATCAGGCAGAAATCACTCCATGGCTGCAGTTTAAGGGACTTTTTGAGCAGAGCTTGAGCCTCCCACTCTAAATCCCACACTACCCTCAACCTGATTTTACAGTCTCACTCAAGTGGGCAGCCCAAGGCAGCACAGACATTTCCATGTTGTTCTTAGACCACTGGATCTCTGCTAGAGCAAGTCAAGCTTGCCAGAGTGACTCAATCTGCACTTAGACAATTACACCCAGGTACTCCTGAATCTGAACAAGTCTTTCCTGAACACAAGCATTCAGAGCAAAGCAGACAACTTTGGATGAAAGCTCTATTGGTGAGCAAGAGTTAATTTTTCCTAGCCTGACTGAAGCTGGCATATGCAACACATCCCAGCATCACATATGCCTTTTACAGGTGGCTTTTTTTGCTGTTAATAACTTTTATGCACAAGCCCTTCCCTTCATCTGTTCTTTACAAAGCAACTGGCAAGGTCCCAGATTATAGAAGCAAGTATTTCATTATTAGTCCATATGAGTGCAATCTACCACTCTGAACAATCAGGTCTTTTCACATTATTCTAACAACCTGTCCATATCCTCCAGCTCTTCCAAACACCAGCTGTGTTGATGACACTGCTAAGCTGCATCTATAGCAACACTGAAGGTATTGCCTTTGCTAATGATGGCCCATGGGCTTTGGAGACAGTTTGCCAGGGCTCTGGATCAAGGCTTGTCAAAGTTTGCCCTTTCTGAGCATTCCTTGTCCTATTCACAGCTTTGTCATATTTGCTTTAGCTGCAACAGCATTTCTTCCAATTGACCAGCCAGCTGTGGCTGATTTGATTTACTTTTCTTTGTCATTGTATGGAGCCACACAGGTTTTGTGACTCTATTATGATAATATCTTATAAAGAAATGCAGGGCTGGTATGTTAGCAAAGGCCTTGAGAAGTGGAGACACAGGATACGGTGCAGAGGAATACAGACATGGAAGATGTGAGATGGGACACCAGCTTATCAACAGAGACACA